TGCGAGGGGGGTCGCGCCGCCAGAGGGCTGCGGGAGAGGGCCGCGGTCAGGGAAGCGGTCGAGCGGTCCCGGGGAGGAACATCGGAGAGGAGGCTGGGCCGAGGGACAAGTTTAGTGGGGCCGGGGGAACCCGGGCGGAGTCAGGGGCAGTGGTGAGGAGCGGGGTCAGGTGACCAGTGGGGGACTGGGACACGGAGGCGGGTCAGGGCCTGGAGGCAAGGGGAGGGCTCAGAGGCCCTGGGAAACGGGGCTGGGGTGGGACAGGGTCAGGGGATTAGGCGAGGGGTGTGGAGGGAGGCAACGGGGATCAGGATCCCTGGGGAGAGAATGAGGTCAGGGGTTTAGGCGTGGCTGAGGAGGGACGCTGGAGGCGTGTGCAGGTCTGGGAAGCTGGAAGGATCCCTGGGAGAGCAGGTGGGAGTGGGAGGGGCTGTTCAGATCCCACCTGAGGGAAGCCCTGGGGAAAAGAGACGGAGCCCGGAGAGGGATCAGGTCCTGACATTAAGGGAAAGGGGGACTGGGGGCACGGGAGAAAGGTGGAGCAACAGGAAGGCCTAGGTCAGAGCCTTAGGGGAGAGCAGGGGACTCAAGAAAGGTGGGAAGATGTTGGGGGGAAGGGCAGTCACAGAGAGGTGATGAAGCTTGAAGTGGAAGCCTCGAGTCCAGGAAGTTTCTTAAGGAACCGGAGGCGAGGGTGGGAGGAAAGAATGGAAACCTGGGGGCGGGAGAGGCTGCTGGGTCATGGGGACCCTAGGAGAAAAGAATAGGTTCAGTGGTGAGAGGGGGATGTGACCAGGATGGAGAAAAGGCAGAAATGGAAAATGTGCCAGAGATGGAGCCAGGAGGGAGACTGAGGTCCCAGGTCCCACCCGCTAATCTTCGGCATCAAAGACCTTCTAAGACAGTGATTCCCAAAGCAGCATGCTGCGGGGCCCTGGTGGGGCTTGCTGAAAACATGGCTAGATCTCCAAGACTCTGCCACACCGGCGAAATCGGAGTCTCTGAAGGAGGGTCCAGGAATATGTTTGTGACACGCTTCCTTGGAGGGTGAGGGTTTAGACAATACTTGGGAACCTTGGAGCTGGATCACCTGTTGCAAACACCTAAAGGTATTCTCCATTCTTGGATTTTAGAGAGATGGCCCCTCCCAAGCGGATGGGTCCAGAGAGCCCATAAAATACCTTCTAGCACCTCAATCCCAACAGCTGGTCAATTCCTCCAGAGATTTACCCTAATCTCCCAGATACGCTGATTTGGCCTGTTTCCTGCTGAGAGAAACAAACAGCCTGGGACTGCCCCTCCCCAGCCCTCAGTGGTTAGAAAGACAAACCAGAAGGGAAGGACCAGGCAGAAGGGGGACCTCAGGCCCCTTCCAGAACCACCACAAACACACACATACATACTGGTCAGCGCAAGGCTCTGATGGTAGCAGCTTATCTTCATCTTCTTTGTTAAACAGAGATGACATTGTCAGCCAGCCTTTCACCCCGACCCCCTGAACCTGGGAAAGGGGTTGGGAGTCAGGGAAGGGGCCCAGCATAACCTCCCAGGACTCCACAGAAGCCTCTGCCAGGCTGCCCAGGGTTGGGGTGGAAGAAGGGAGAAGACTCACCCGGCGGGCCAGCTGTGACATGGGATTGAAGGTCTCCTCGGTTGGTTCTGCTGTCTCAGACTCCACTAATGCTGGGTTCTCCCTCTGGGACACAAGACCCCCACACTGCATGAGAGAGGCCGCAGAGGAGTGGGATCTCCCTCCTCCACTGCTAGCCTAGTACACACAGACCAGGCACCCCAAATACCACAGAACTAAACACACACACACTCCACAGATCCACAAGGGCACATGGGAATGCATACAGATATACCTACAGAGTAAATCCCTGCAGACCACCTTTTTCCTCGTGTGTGTGTGTGTGTGTGTGTGTGTGTGTGTGTCAGAGTCTTGCTCTGTTGCCTAGGCCAGAGTGCTGTGGGGTGCAGTGGCACGATCTCAGCTCACTGCAACCTCTGCCTTCCGGGTTCAAGTGATTCTCCTGCCTCAGCCTCCTGAGTATCTGGGATTACAGGCACCTGCCACCACCCTGCTACTTTTTGTATTTTTAATAGAGATGGGGTTTTGCCATGTTGGCCAGGCTGGTCTCGAACTGCTGGCCTCAAGTGATCTGCCCATCTCGGCCTCCCAAAGTGCTGGGATTATAGGTGTGAGCCACTGGCCCGAGCTGCAGACACCCTTGAGCACACATACCTGCCCACCACAGACACATCCATATACACTCAAAAGCATGTGGACATGGGCATGCACTCTGATGTAGACACACACCTGTACACGAGCATGCCCCACATGGCTACAGCTCTTCATCTGCACATAGACGTATGTGTTATGAGGTACCTATACAAGGACACACACAGTTATACCGTTCACAGCTGTGCACTTACACAACCACAGAAAGCTGCACGGAGGCCCATCCGCAACACACAAAACCTCTTCACCCAAAAACAGATACCAAAACACGTACACCATACAAACATAACACCTACAAATGTCTACACAGAGGCATGCAGGCATAGACTGCTGCCCAAAATGTTCACACCTACACACACACCTTCACTGGGGATTCCACACAGACACTGATCACACCAGTTACCCACCGACATTTCTGCACAAGCCCAGCCTTAGACACCAACCTCTCCAGACATTCAAGCATTCAAACCATTCTCCGCCCCTCCCAACCAATTCCTGCCTCTGCCACACTTCTTGTGATTGTGTGACTGCCACTTATCACAGCCTCCAGACATAAGACTGTCCCTGGTTTCAGAAACTTTGCTGTTGTCATTGTTGTTTTGAGACAAAGTCTCACCTGTCACACAGGCTGTAGTGCAGTGGAGCCTTGACCTCCCTGGGCTCAAGCGATCCACCCACCTCAGCCTCCTGAGTAGCTGGGACTACAGGTGTGGTGCCACCGTGCCTGTCTAATTTTTGTATTTTTTTGTTGAGATAGGGTTTCACTATGTCACCCAGGCTGGTCTCAAAATCTTGGGCTCAAGTGATCCTCCTGCTTCAGCCCCTGAGTAGACAGGATTACAGGTGCCCGCCACCATGCCTGGCTAATTTTTGTATTTTTAGTAGAGACAGGGTTTCGCCATGTTAGCCAGGCTGCTCTCCAACTCCTGACCTCAGGTGATCCACCCTCTGTGACCTCCCAAAGTGCTAGTATTACAGGCGGGAGCCACTGCACCCAGCCTGTTTTTTGTTTTTTTTTTTTTTTGAGGCAGAGTCTTGCCCCGTCACCCAGGCTGGAGTGCAATGGTACAATCTCCGCTCATTGCAACCTCCGCCTCCCAGGCTCAAGCAATTCTCCTGCCTCAGCCTCCCAAGTAGCTGGGATTACAGGCACACGCTGCCATGTCTGGCTACTTTTTTTTTGTATTTTAGTAGAGACTAGGTTTCACTGTGTTGCCCAGGCTGGTCTTGAACTCCTGAGCTCAGGCAGTTCACCCTCCTCGGCCTCCCAAAGTGCTAGGATTACAGGCATGAGCCACCATGCCTAACCCAGCCTGTTTTTTTGTTTTTTTGTTTTTTTTTTTTAATGTCAGAACAACACATGGTCTAAGTATGGCTTTGATCTGATGCTGCTACAGTGACCTTTCTAGTATAGGCGCCACTCCCCCTACCTCTAGTAACAGGAGGCTCACTACATCACTCCTAATTCTGCTCCCATTAGAAAGTTGTGTCCAGCTAAGTGTGCCCATGTGCCTACTGCCCACTGGTCCTAGAAGAATCTCTTCCATGTGGCAGCCTCGAGATCTTTGGAGACAGTGGCCACTCCTCCCATAGTCCCTAAGTCTTTTCTTCTTCCTCAGTTTTCTTGAATGTCCTGGCTTTCTGATGCTGCACCATGCTCTTTACCATTCTTGAATGTGCTGTCTGCACGAACGTGGCCCCCCCACCTCCAAGCCTATCCTGTGCCCCACTTCATACTGCTCATTCCTGCTGCCCCTCTGCATATGCTCCACCCAGCATGCATGGATGGTACCCACCTCCTCTGCCAGGTCTTCCTCAGATTCCCCACTCAGTGTCTGTAGCACTTTGGACTTGTAGGTTTTCCAGAAGGCCTGGTTCATGGCTGCAGGGGGAAGGGGTCTGGCACCCAAGCACAGGAAGGTGGTGGCTCAGTGGATACCAGTGAGTCTGGCCCTAGGAACTTGGTGAGGCCAAGAGCCTGTCTGAGGGATCCAGTGACTTCATTAAAGATGCACCAGCCTCCCCAGCTGGCACAGTGCCCAGGAGGTGAACCTGATCCAAAGGAGTCGGGGGGTGGGGGATGGAACAGGCTTCCGCCACCTTAGCCCCTTGTCTTGACCCATATTGGCCAAGAATAACGAAGACATCTGTCTCTAGAGAGGCTTTCTTTTTTTTTTTTTTGAGACGGAGTCTCGCTCTGCCGCCCAGGCTGGAGTGCAGTGGCCGGATCTCAGCTCACTGCAAGCTCCGCCTCCCGGGTTTACGCCATTCTCCTGCCTCAGCCTCCCGAGTAGCTGGGACTACAGGCGCCCGCCACCTCGCCCGGCTAGTTTTTTGTATTTTTTAGTGGAGACGGGGTTTCACCATGTTAGCCAGGATGGTCTCAATCTCCCGACCTCGTGATCTGCCCGTCTCGGCCTCCCAAAGTGCTGGAATTACAGGCTTGAGCCACCGCGCCCGGCCCTAGAGAGGCTTTCTTCTTGGGCCTAGGAGTACTTGAGGTTGTTCATCTCTTAGCATGGCTCCAGGAAAATCTTCTTCCATTCACAAAATCCTGAGGTCTGGGACCCACACTGGAGCCCCTGTGACTGTAGTCATACCAGTTGTGTCCTCAGCAGGGCTCCACCCCTTGTCCCTACTCAGCCTCAATGAACTGGAGCAGGAAGGTCCCCAGGCCCCCAGTGGGCACCTTGGGCTTACATTTCACTCCTTTGTCTGGGCTGGAAACTGATTCCTCTCCCCAGGGATACACGTGCCTGTCTCCTTGTTTCCTGGCAACAGATTCCAAAGAGCTGGAGCCCCTGAATTATTGCTAAGCTCCTCTGGCCCCTTCCAGCTGAGTTGGCTCTGGCCAGCCTGGGAGGCACCAGGATCCTGTGAATGGGGAAAGGCCCTCTAGGCTTCTGCCCACTCTGAGCATGCAATACCTAGGCCTTTGCTGCCAGCCCACCTCTGGGAGCCCAGGGCTTAGAGAAAGGAGGCAAAGATGGAGAGGTCCTTCTATAAGTACTTGTGAGAGGAACTGAGCCCTCTGGAATCTGGATGCCTGAGGACTGCAATCTCTGGGGAGGAACACCCTTCATGGATTTGGCTGGGGGCAGAGAGAGGATGGAGATTCAAGGGAATAATGGGAGCCAGGAGAAGTGACGGGTTTTTCAGGGACTGGAGATATCTCGGGAAGTCCTGTGGGGCTGGGATTGCAAACTTATTCACTCTCAGTCATTTACTAATTTATTCATGACACAGACATTTATCAGTGGTTTCCAGAGATGCAGCATCCCACCCCCACCGCGGAGTCCAAGGTCTGGGAAACAGGAAGGGACGACAGGGGCAGAGGTTGGCACTGATACTGGTTGGGCCAGGCCAGGGAGAGCAGGGCAGCAAGACGGCCCCGAAACCCCTAGGCGCACGCACCACCCCGCGCTTCCCCAGCTAGGACCCGCGTGGCCATGCCCTTCAGTGGTCACAATTTTGGAGACCCGTCCCGAGCTCGGTCACTGACGTCGACGGCCGCCTGGCGGCGCTCGAGCCGCTGGCCGAGAGTGACGTCATCAGAGGCGGTCCGGCAGAGCCTGCCTCGCCCCCCTGCGTGGCGTGACGTCGCTGATCGGCCCGGAAGCGCTCACACGTGTGCTCACTGCCCTGCTCCTGGCCCTTTGGCCGCCCGGGCTGTTTCTGGCCATGGGTCGCTCCCGCCGGACAGGCGCGCACCGAGCGCACTCTCTAGCCCGGCAGATGAAGGCGAAGCGGCGGCGGCCGGACCTGGATGAGATTCACCGCGAGCTGCGGCCTCTGGGACCCGCACGGCCCCAGCCCGACCCAGACGCCGAGCCCGACCTCGACCTGCCAGGGGGCGGCCTGCACCGCTGTCTGGCCTGCGCGTGAGTCCCGGACGAGCCCGGCCGGGAGCGGAGGAGGGTCCGCGGTACCGGCCGGGAGATGTGAAGTTCAAGCCCCAGGCCGTGCAGAGCCTTCTCTCTTGGGACCCGTGGGTCCGCCCGCCTCCCGTTTCTCAGACCCGGATCCTGGCGTCAGGGACAAGCTAGGGCTATGGAGATAGGTGTACTTGGGAGACTATCACCTCCTCACTCTCCTTCTCACTTCCATCCCTACAGGAAGTACTTCATCGATTCCGCCAATCTGAAGACCCACTTCCGATCCAAAGACCACAAGAAAAGGTATGAAGGAGTAAGGAGAGGATTGATGGATGGGTGCTCAGCAGATAGGGCTTTCACCTGTCATCTCCCAACTCCTGTTTTTCTTTCTCCCAGGCTGAAGCAGCTGAGCGTCGAGCCCTACAGTCAGGAAGAGGCGGAGAGGGCAGCGGGTATGGGATCCTATGTGCCCCCCAGGCGGCTAGCAGTGCCCACAGAAGTGTCCACTGAGGTCCCTGAGATGGACACCTCTACCTGACATGGCCTGAAGATGCAGGGCAGAGGAGTTGCCCATGGACAGTGACGCAAGGACTAGGCTGGGAGGGAGCGTGCCAACCCCTTTTGGCTCTGGGTTTGGGGAACGGAGGGCCTCTTCTGGGTGCCCTGCCCCCAATAAAGGAACTGGACAAAGAGAGCTTGCCTCCAACTCTAACTTCCAGGTCGCTGTCTCAAACTCCTGCCCTGGAAGGGCTTGTCTAGTACTTTCTGTGCACCAGGCCTAGGGTGTCAATCTTGGTCTATCTTTGGAGCCCACATCCCTGCCTTCCCTCTGAGGTCCTAGCATCTGAACTGGAGCACCCAGATGGAGGCCTGATGCAGTGTGGGGTGGCGGGAGTGGGATCAGATTACTCTGTCCTGCTTCCGACAGAGACTGATCCCCAGAAAAGAAGGCTTCTGAGATTGCAGCCCCCTCCCGAGTCACCTACCCCCAGCGTCCAGGTGAGAGTCTCTCTTCTTCATTATGGGGCCCGTGGCACCCGCCGCTGCCCCACCATCTTCCAGACGGCATAGCAGGAGCCACCCAGCCCGAGGACAGCTAGCACTGTAGCCACAACTCCCACCAGCAGACTGCGGGGCTCTGCCTTCAGCTCACCAGCTACCTGCATCTGGAGGTGCACAGAGGGTGTGCCTCAGGGGTCAGTTGAGACTGTCAGGAAGGTGGGGAGTGGGAAGGGGCTGAGTAGGTGTAGCTAGGGGAAGGAGACATGGACGCTGGTACTGCCCCAGGGAGATTCCACCCCAATCCCTTTCGCCTCACTGCCCATCTGGGCCTGCCTGCTCAGGCGGCAGGGAACGTGACAGCCTGGCTGTTGGGGGTGTCAACCCAGCTATGGTAGGGGGAGGAAGGGGTCAGTCGTGCCAGAAACCATTGATCAGGGGTACTTACCTGTAGCACCCGGAAGTAACCAGGGGTCAGGCGTCGAAATCGCATGGTGGGCGGCACTGGTCTCCCTGGCGGCCTATAGGGTGGGAGCGGACATGAAGACCAGTGGTCTTTATGATACCAAGAAGTGGAAACTAGGGTAGAGGGGTCTCTGACCTTCTACATACGCAAGACCCAAGCCCTCAGAGGATGCTCACCCGCGCCTGCCTGCCAAGGTCTGGCAGGGGGCGGAGCAACTGGACCTTTAAATCTGGTCCCTTCCCCCACTGCCTACCATCCTGCCAGCCTTAGGAGCAGCTGTCAAAAGAGATCAGCATCAGGCTTGAGCGGCACCTCCCCCACTGTCCAAGGAGGCGGGTCTGGGTAGGCAGAAGAGGCCTTGGCTGGCAGGGCTCAGGAGTCCCAGGCCTGGACCAGGTACTGGGCGGGCCTCCCTCAGCCCCTGGTCCGAGCCCCATCCCTACTTCAGATGATTGGATGCCAGCATTATGGAAGGAAGGGGAGGGTGCCTTTTCGATTTGATTTCTGTGAAATCAACCACCCCTACCTTGAGGGATGGCACATTTAACCTATTTCTTTCTTTCTTTTTTTTTCAAAGACAGAGTCTCACTCTGTCACCCAGGCCTGAGTGCAGTGGCATGATCTCAGCTCACTGCAACCTCTGCCACCCAGATTCAAGCGAATCTCCTGCCTCAGCCTCCCGAGTAGCTGAGATTACAGGCACCTGCCACTGCACCCGGTTAATTTTTCTATTTGTAGTAGAGACGGGGTTTCACCATATTGGTCAGGCTGGTCTTGAACTCCTGACCTCATGATCCACCCGCCTCGGCCTTCCGAAGTGCTGGGGTTAGAGGCATGAGCCACTGCACCCAGCCAATTTAACCCGTTTCTTCAAGACAAAGTTTCTGCAGGGACTTCCCTGCCCTCAGCTTGAAACAGTGATAAAAGCATATCTGCATATACCAATTAAGAAAGCTGCCCATGACACGTTAAAAATAGTAGTCATTGTTCTAAGCACGTAACTTGTATTTCATTTGGTATCCATTATCTCTTAAATGAAAAAGTATGGTTGGGCAGCACTTTAGGAGGCTGAGGCAGGCAGATTGCTTGAGTCCAGGAGTTCGAGACCAGCCTGGGCAAAGGTGAAACCTCATCTCTACCAAAAAAAAAAATAATAATTTAGCCAGGCATGGTGGTGCATGCCTGTAGTCCCAGCTACTCAGGAGGCTGAGGTAGGAGGATCACTTGAGCCTAGGAGGTGGAGGCTGCAATGAGCCGAGGTCGCACCATTGCACTCCAACCTGGGTGACAGCCAGACCCTGTCTCCAATAAAAGAAAAGAAAAGAAAAAGTACAGTTTGCAGAATAGTATGTAGACTATCTGCAGATATAGAAAACAGAAGAATATCCCAAATTTAGCAGTGGCCCCCACTGGGGAACATGATAGAGACACACTGGGGAAAGGGCACATCCTGCTTTCACTTAACCTATTACCTTTGAAATGTATACAGCAAATATGTAGAACTTTATATTCATAAAGCTTTTTAAAATAGGCCGGGCATGGTGGCTCACGCCTGTAATCCCAGGGAGCCAAGCGTGGGAGGCCGAGGTAGGTGGATTACTTGAGGTCAGGAGTTTGAGACCAGCCTGGCCAACGTGGCAAAACCCTGTCTCTACTAAAAATACAAAAATTAACTGGGTGTGGTGGCGCACACCTGTAATCCCAGCTACTCGGGAGATTGAGGTACGAGAATCACTTGAACCTGGGAGGGAGAGGTTGCAGTGAGCCAAGACTGCGCCACTGTACTCCAGCCTGGGCAGCAGAGCAAGACTCTCTCAAAAAACAAAACAAAGCCCTTTAAAATAGAAGCTGCCGGCCGGGCATGGTGGTTTATGCCTGTAATCCCAGCATTTTGAGAGGCTGAGGCAAGTGGATCACTTGAGGTCAGGAGTTTGAGACCAGCCTGGCCAACATGGTGAAACCCCATCTCTACTAAAAATACAAAATTAGTCGGGTGTGGGGGTGCACGCCTGTAATCCCAGCTACTTGGGAGGCTGAGGCAGGAGAATAGCTTGAACCTGGGAGGTGGAGGTTGCGCTGAGCCAAGATCACGCCATTGCACTCCAGCCAGGACAACAAGAGCAAAACTCCATCTCAAAAGAATAAATAAAAATAAATAGAAGTTGCCACTTACTGTGTCCCTAACTGCCTAGCCCTGGCAGATGCTGGGAGCATAGAGTAAAGGCGCCGTGGTTCAAGGAGGAAAGGGGCTGGTTTTCACCTCTGGTGGCAGCTCAGGAAAGATATTTGATGAAATCAAGATCTGTCTACCGAACACTGGGATAAAGGCTCTGTTAGAATTTACTGGACTTCGCTAGAGTGCCATAGGGAGGCTGCTGCATGAAGAGGCAAAAATGTTAAAGGAGGATGCAGCACAAAGTGTTCAAGGGACACAGACCCGAGGCAAAACACAAAGCTGGAGACAGGCATTTTGCAAATTTGAAGCCAACTGGCTCATAAAATGAAAGAGGCTGTTAATACCAAGTGTGAAGGTGGGATGGCATCACCAGAGCTGACCAAGTTCAGAGAAGCTGAAAATCTCAATTTGTATGTGACATTATTAAACGTTGACAACACACATACACTACATGGGCCAACCATGGGCGAAATTCAGACTTTGGGTCTCTGGGTTACCGGTAAGGTCGTGACAGGCTTTGACGACTGGGGGTGCTGCAGAAATTCTGAAGTAGGTGACAACAGTTGGCTCCTCCCCACAGAATTAAAGCAATAATAACTCATATCTACCCCATGATGCAGATTTCAAAGTACTTAATGTCATCACAGTGCTAAGGCCTAGGTATCTATCCCTTCCGGAGAGGAAGAAACAGATTCAGAGAGCTGTAGAAGTTGGGCTGAGTCACATAGCAGTTGAGTGTGGAACTGATTTTATCTGATTTTTTTTTTTTTTTTTTTGAGACAATTTTGCTCTTGTTGCCCAGGTTGGAGTGCAATGGCACAATCTCGACTCACTGCAACCTCTGCCTGCGGGTTCAAGCAATTCTCCTGACTCAGCCTTCCGAGTTGCTGGGATTATAGGTACCCTCCACCACGCCCAGCTAATTTTTTGGATTTTTAGTAGAGACAGGGTTTTGTCATGTTGGCCAGGCTGGTCTCGAACTCCTGACCTCAGATGATCCACCCGCCTTGGTCTCCCAAAGTGCTGGGATTACAGGCGTGAGCCACCGCACCCAGCCTTTTTTTTTCTTTTTTTTTGAGATGGAGTTTCACTTTTGTTGCCCAGGCTGGAGTGCAATGATGCGATCTTGGCTCACCGCTACCTCTACCTCCCGGGTTCAAGGGATTCTCCTGCCTCAGCTCCCGAGTACTGGGATTACAGGCATGTACCACCACGCCTGGCTAATTTTGTATTTTTAGTAGAGATGGGGTTTCTCCATGTTGGTCAGGCTGGTCTCGAACTCCTGACCTCAGGTGATCCACCCACATCAGTCTCCCGAAGTGCTGGGATTACAGGCCTGAGCCACCACACCCAGCTGATTTTATCTGATTCTAAAGTCCTGGTAGTCCCCTGACCTGAGATGATGATGATGAAAATGAACATTTACTATGTGTCAGATATTTTCTAAGATGAAAGCTCTTACTCTGGGGTCCAGAATTCAGGGGATCCATAAACTTGGATGGGAAAAATTATATTTTTATTTTTGCTAACCTCTAACCAAAATTTATGATTTCCTTGTATATGGATTGAAGTAGTAGTATCTTTGGCTTAGTCACCAACAGAAATCACAGACATTTTGGCCGGGTGTAGTGGCTCATGCCTGTATTCCCAGCACTTTGGGAGGCCGAGGCGGGTGGATCACGAGGTCAGGAGATCGAGACCATCCTGGCCAACACGGTGAAACCCTGTCTCTACTAAAATTACAAAAAACTTAGCCAGGTGTGGTGTCAGGCGCCTGTAGTCCCAGCTACTCGGGAGGCTGAGGCAGGAGAATGGCGTGAACCCGGGAGGCGGAGCTTGCAGTGAGCCGAGATTGTGCCACTGCACTCCAGCCTAGGCGACAGAGCGAGACTCCTTCTCATCAAAAAAAAGAAATCACAGACATTTTCATGTCAAATTGTAGTTATTGCAAGTATCTCAAAATATTTATGCTCGAATGATTTCAAATTCACAGTGGTTGTTAAACCACCGCTAAATTGTTCATGAGCACCTTCTGTTCCAGATGTTCCTGTGA